CGCCACAACTTAATCAACCAATGAATGAATATGTGGCACTATTTGTGGCTTGGCACTACTCCGCTTTAACGGATCCCCAGATATAGTAATTGATTTATGCATTTTTATTGGTTAACATTGATCATGTGATTCAAATAATGCAGTTTAATATTTTGACGAATAATTTTTGAAATCTTGTACAGTTCTGTCCGCGATGTCCAAAATACATAAATACTTCGATCGCAAATATAATGACTGGAACATACTCGAGTTTTTAAATGAATGTGATTTGGAACCATTCGATAGGAAAATAGACGAATATCTTAAAAGCCTCCAAAAGATTAAAACGGAGAAAGGAATGAGAAAAGGAAAAGCAAGTCAACTTATTGACAGATACCGTGAGGCACGTAAAGATTTTTTTAGTATATATAAAAATAGTGGCGTGACATTGGCCTCTTTGGTTCCTTGTCATTCAAGGCTCTTTGCTGAGTCACAAACCAGTGTTAGAACACAAATAGCCTCTTTGGTTATTTGATGTTCAAGGCTCTTTGCTGATCTAACATTGGACCCATTGGGATCGGGTGGGCCTCCTTGGTTACCTGATACCCAAATGGGGTAGAAATTGATATATGAGCAAGAATTTTACTAATTTCCAAATCTATGTTAGAATGCTAAGCCGGATCAGAAAATTGCAAGATCGTGGGAAAGAGAACGTACACGCAAACAAGTTCACCTACACCAACCAATATAAGGAACCGTAAATGGGACTGTAAATGGAACAATAAATGGGGAAAAAGTTGGAACTATTAACGAACAAGAGAATTCTCCGCCTAGAAGGACACCGAGAAAGATAAAAAGGTAAGTTACAATGAAAAGCCAAATAGAGTGAATAACACTAGCAAGCGAACTTATGAAGAAATATCAGACGAAGATTCTAAGGTATGTAAAATGCTGTTAGTCAATATTTTCTGTTTCGCTACCTCTAATTTTCCAACATTTAGGTTTATGATGATGAATATGGTGAAATCGATGACCACGAAGAAGATGACGACGAGAATGAGGATGTCAACGAAGATGACGACGAGAATGAAGACGAGGATGTCAACGAAGATGACGGCGAGAATGAAGATGAGGATGTCGACGAAGATGACGACGAGAATGAAGACGAGAATGCCGAAGGAGATGATGACAAAGATAAGAAGGCCAGGAAGAGAAAGAAGTTGGAGAAAAAGTTGATTAATGATTTTATTTTGAGATTTGAGGCGATAAGTGCAGATGACAAATGGAAACTTCCTTCGGGTAGATTTGTAGAAGATGTTTTATATGATTGGACGTTCTGAAACGTAGATATACTACATCCGTTGCATTGATCGTATTGGTTACTAAATAATGACTAATCATTTCTTTGTCTAAATATTTTATTAAGACTCGCACATTCTTTTATATTGGATACTGATTGTCAGGAAGTTATGGATCTGTTTAGTTCTGAGGAAAAAGAGACAATTTTAAATACTAATAAAAAGTCTTTTCCGGCCGTACAAGATGATATCAAAAAATATGCCATGAAATATTACAAGATATTCTGTTTGATAAAGGTTGACCGAATTGAGACATTTATTCATAAATCTTTCTAAATCTCTATAGAAAAATGTCGGCGATCTTCGACAAATCGTCATGGAACCATATTTGAAAAACGGGGAGATCTATAATCCAAAGTTACATTATGATCTGGTGTGGATTCACTTAGTATTCAATAAATTGTGAGTTAACTCTCATCATTTATATAATATTTTTAATTCGCGACTGATTTCTTTTCTTTATTGATAAAGTGTTATTGAATGGGAACAAGGCGTGAATGCGTTAGCGGATGATAATTTGGAAGCATGGATTGTGAGTCATGTATGGACTTTTATTGTCGATATGGCATTAAAGGACATTGAAGAAACAAGAATTGGAAAGTATGTCATCAGTGTTCAAACAAAAAATCGTTATTATATTATAATATTAGCGGTTAAGTACATATTTTTCATTTTTATAGATCAGATGGTGGTTCGTATGCATCAAAAATGCGCAAAAACAAAAAAAGAAAAATAGGAAAATCTGTTATCCGTGTAATGAGCCTTTAAAACTGTAATATTATACATATAGATAGTTCGAATTAATTTCTTTTTTAATAATAATAGGGCAGGAAGATCGACATATTACTAAAACTTCGTAATAGTTCAAGAGAAATACTAGCTAGTGAGGTTGCCAGAACAGAAGATATTCACGATAAAAAATATTTAGGAGATAAAATGAAACTATTAAAACTTATGAAAGATATGATCGATTTAATAATTGAATCACTTCCGTCAACTACAATCGAAAATTATGAGAGTCTTTGTACATTTGGAATACAACTTTTCAGTAAGTGAACATTATCTATATTATGATACATTGATCGGCTTTGTCATTAATTTTATAATTACTTAGAAATAAAGGCGCTATCTACATTATGGATTGCCCTGGAGGAGTTATTGCGCGATTGACTAAGAAAGCACAATTAGAAGCTCCTATATATATCGAAGGCATTTGCGAATTAATTTTGTCTATAGTTGCAATGTTGGAATTGTAGGTAATACCTTAGTGCTGAGCTGTATATTTCTAATACCTTTGTATTTACCTGCTTTGATATCTTGTAGAATGCAATTCGAGAGATCATCCATATAATTGAAAAAATAGAAAGCGACGAACTCGAGGCCCAAATCTTTCAAAGAAATAATACTGGTGTTCGATTACCACTTGCAGGAACTACACCAACTCCTTGGACCTCACTATAAAAAATATAAAGTAAAATATTAGTGTGAACGTAAGCAATTAGGTCATGTAACAATTGCGACTTTATAATCCAGTTTTCTTGAGACTTCTGCGATAAATGAATTTGTGATGATCTGTATTGTGATCAGCTAAATAAAATCATGTGCACGTGAAGAATTCTTAACGCCGATCACACTTTTGCCAAGAAAAAATAAATCACGATAAATTGATTGCGTAATACAGATGCTCGATCAGGTCATTACTTCGTAATACACATCACATGTTATATCACAGAAGAAAATCGAAGGTCATGGAACTTTTGCATTAGTAACAAAGTGAAACAGAAAAAAAATGACAGATCATGTGACTTCCGATCATATTCTGTCTTTTCGGTAGAGCGAGAATGTCATGCATTTATTATTTATTTATAATATAATTCAAGAATAATAAACTTAATGCTTTGTTTTTTATTTACAATATAATTCAAGAATAATTTGAACTTTTAAGAATAAACTTACATTTTATTTTTTTATTTACAATGTAACTCAAGAATAATTTAAATATTAAGAATAAACTTGCATTTTGTTTTTTTTATTTATAATATAACTCAAGAATAATTTAAATATTAAGAATATTTAAATAAAATAAGAATTATTAAATTTTTGCTTTATCTTATTAATAGTTAAAACTTACTTATTCTTTCCTATTCTTGATTGCTTATTTGATTACTTATAAGATTGTTTACTTAATTATTATTAACTTGTTCATTCTTGCTTTTTCATTTGTTCACTTGCTTATTCTTGCTTACTTTTTTAGACTTGAGTTAATTATAATTATTATTATCCAGAAAAAATAGTTAGACTTTGATTTCAAATTGATCAAAATGCTTAAAAGAAATTTCAAAAGCAGAAAAATTATTTACTGATATAAAATATTAAGATAATCCAATGATAAATAAAGCTTAGATTATTTGGTAGAGATGAAAATATGCATTCAGTCAGAAAAATTCTTATTATACCAATAATTATTCATTATCATCAGAAATTCAAATAATAAATCAAGAATTAAAGTCAAAGAAACTTGTTAATAAAAAGGTATAGAATTACCAAATATTTTTTATTAAGTAATAGTATCAGTCAGATTATTAATTATGATTTTAATATCTTTAATAATTAAAAACTAACTTATTAAAAGAGAGAAATATTGATTTAAAAAGGAATGAAAAATAAATTTCAAAAGTAAAAAATTACTTACTAATACAAAATATAAAGATAATTCAATAGCAAAGAAAACTTAAATTACCTGATGATAATGAAAATATATATCTGATCAGAAAAGTTCTTATCATACTAGTAATTATTCATCATCATCAAGAAATCTAAATAATAAATCAAGAACTAAAATTAAAGAAACTTATCAATAAAAAGATATAAAACTACCAAATATTTTTCATTAGGTAATAGTATTAGTCAGATTATTAATTACAATTCTAATATCTTTGATAATTAAAAACTAACTTGCTAAAAAAGAGAAATATTAATTTAAAAAAAAATAAAAAATAAATTTCAAAGGTAAAAAATTACTTACTAATATAAAATATGAAGATAATCTAATAATAAAAAAAACTTGAATTACCTAATAATAATAAAAATATGTATCTAGTCAGAAAAATTTTTATTATATTAATAATTATTTATCATTACCAGGAAATTCAAATGATAAATCAAGAACTGAAGTTGAAGAAACTTATTAGTAAAAAGATATAGAACTATCAAATATTTTTTATTAAGTAATAATATCAGTCAAATTATTAATCATAATTTTGATATCTTTGATAGTTAAAAATTAGCTTGCTAAAAGAGAGAAATATTAATTTAAAAAGAAATAAAAAATAAATTTCAAAGATGAAAAATTACTTATTAATATAAAATATAAAGATAATTTAATAATAAAGAAAACTTGAATTATCTAGTGATAATGAAAATATATGTCTGATTAGAAAAGTTCTCATCATATTAATAATTATTCATTATTATTAGAAAATTCAAATAATAACCAAGAACTAAAGTTGAAGAAACTTGTTAATAAAAAGATATAGAATTATTAAATATTTTTTATTAAGTAATAGCATTAATTAGATTATTAATTATGATTTTAATATCTTTGATAATTAAAAACTAACTTGCTAAAAGAAAGAAATATTAATTTAATAAGAAATAAAAAATTACTTACTAATATAAAATATGAAAATAATCTAATAGTAAAGGAAACTTAGATTATCTGGTAATAATAAAAATATATATTCAGTCAGAAAAGTTCTCATTATACTAGTAATTATTCATTATTATTAGAAAATTCAAATGATAAATCAAGAACTGAAGTTAAAAAAACTTATCAATAAAAAAATATAAAACTATTAAATATTTTTTATTAAGTAATAGCATCAGTCAGATTATTAATCATAATTTCAATACTAAAAATTAACTTGCTAAAAGAGGAAATATCAGTTTAATGAAAAATAAAATAAAGTTCAAAGGTGAAAAATTACTTACTAATATAAAATATGAAGATAATCTAATAGTGAAGAAAGCTTAGATTATCTAATAAAGATAGAAATATATATCTGATTAGAAAAGTTCTTATTATATCAGTATAATTATTTACTATCACCAGAAAATTTAAATGATAAATCAAGAATTGAAGTTAAAGAAACTTATTAATAAAAAGATATAGAATTACTAAGTAATAATATTAATTAAATTATTAATCATAATTATTATCATTCTAATATCTTTGATAATTAAAGACTTGCTTGCTAAAAGAAAAAATATTAGTTTAATGAGGAATAAAAAAATAAATAAATTCTAAAAATGAAAAATTACTTATTAATATAAAATATAAAATTAATTTAATAGTGAAGGAAATTTAAATTATCTGATAGAGATGAAAATATATATTCTGATCAGAAAAGTTCTTATTATACTAATGATTTCTCATTACTATCAAAAAATTCAAATGTTAAATCAAGAACTGAAATTAAAAAAACTTATTAAAAAAAATATATGAAATAATGTTAAATAAATCTTGATTTCATATTAAAAAATTAGTATCAGTTAGATAGTTAATTATAATTATCATCATTCTAATATCTTTAATTATTAAGACTTACTAAAAAAGAAGATAATTAGATATTATTTCTATTAAGATCTTTATTAATTGATCAAAATATTTTAATGTAAAATATAAAACAAGATCTTTGATTAGAAAAAGTAATGATTATAATTAAAAATAAATTAATAAAATATATTAATTATACTAAATATTTATCTATTTGTAAATTTATTTTTTCTATATCTCTTTTATTAAATAATACTTGTATAAATATAACATCTAATAAATATATTTTTCTTTTCTAATTAAATTTATAAATAATATCAAATTTGTCTAATTACAGCTATAATAATACTAATGACTTCTAAAATAAATAAAAATTAGTTCATTTAATAAAATTCTCTATTTTTTACAGATCTTGCTAAATATAATATTTATCTGTATTATAATATATAATATAATAATATAATATGATATAATATAATATATTAAGAATAAATAAAATCTTGCTAAAGATCAAATATCATGATCTATATAAGAATTTTATAATCTTATTAAATTACTTTCTAAAAATAAAATAAATAAAATATTAGTCATAAATAATAAAATTAATATTAAGATAAAAGAAGATATTATAACACATATAAATATTATGATATAGTTAAAATAATATGTGATATCTTGATATCTAATGGTCTAAATTATATTAAAATAATATCATTCAATTCATTATGATTATATGAATTGAATAGTAATATTTTGATATAATTTGAATTACTAGATATTGAGATATTATGCTATATATTAAGTTATATATTAAAATTTTAATATATAATAAATTTTGAATTTAATATTTTGACATCAAGTAAATAAAATTATATTAAAATAATATTATTTAATTTGCTATAACTAGACAAATTGAATGATATTAGTTTGATATAATTCTGTCTACTTGATATTAAGATATCAGAATTAAAATTCAGATAATAGATAGTAACTAAAATGATATATTTTAATTATATTTAATTAATTATATTTAATTTTTGCTCTTAAATAATAATTTGCATAATTATAATATAATAAGTCTTATAATATAAATAAATATATATAAATAAGCTCAAGAGTCTTAATAAAAAAAAGACAGAATTAATTACGTATAATTCTTTTTTAAATAGTTAATATATATAAAATACTTATAATATTAATTATAATAATAATAATTAATAATTAGATTCTTTTAATCTAGAAGAAAGTAATAGATATTATAAATTAGATTATTAATAAATTATTTAATGTATTTAATTAAATAATTTAAAGCTTTTGACTAGAAAAAGTAAATATTTAAGTTAGAACTAAGTATAATAAAGAAATTCTAAATTACTTATCTCTTCTCTTCTCTTTTATATCTATTTTTATAAATGATATCTATAGATACTAGTATAGGATTTTAGAAACTAATAAGCACTATCAGTCTAATCACCTATATAAATTAATTAAAAGATAAGTCAATAATTAATCTATATAATATAATCAAAAAAGTAATAGTAAGAACTTATCTGATCTTGTACAATCTTCAGTTGTTTAGCTAATCATTATCAATAGATCTTCTAGATAATAATATAATTTCTTGTATCAGTTATTTATTATATCAGATTTTTTAGAGACTAATAAAATAATAATTTATTTATTTACATATTTATAGGTTAA